AGCAACCTAAAACTTCTGCAATCACGTTTAAAGAAAAAGCCTGCTGACACTTACGCTTTCATGTAATCCTTGATGTACTTCTTGTAGGATTCTTTTGTAAAGCTGGTTTCTTGCAGGTGGTGGTTTATCACTATATCAACACCAGTTATGACCGTGGCTTCTGTTCCATCTCCCTCAGGACCTTCAGCAGAGGCATTGCCACCAATTAGAGAGTCATCAATTTGACCCTCTGTCCTGGTGACCATCTAGATTTAGAGACATCAAAAAACTTAACGGCTCTGCAAAAATCTTAACGCTACCGCTCTTACACATCTATGACCTGACAGCAGGGCATGACTTCAGAGCCACAGTTAAATGCAAGGAACCTGACTGCAGCCCAAGCACAGGCTTTTTAAGCCAGGCTCCTCTCCCAGCACCTGACATTCACTACACCACCAGCACTGAACTTTCACACAGCAACCGTGGTAGCAGCCGTCTCTGTCCCAGCCACAGGCACCAGGCCGGGCCGTGCTCCCCCCGCTTAGGGCCCCTCGCAGGGAAGCCAAACCCTCTCCCCAGCCCCAGGCTGGCTCTGAGTCACCGCGGCGAGGCCTGCCTTCCCTCCCCGCCATAGTCCTTTCCTGAGGTGGACAAGCTACTCACCTTCCCCTCCACTTCCAGGCACAGGCCGTTCGCCACCTCCCGGATCTTGTAGATGTCCGAGAACATCTCGTCCTCTGCGGGGGGACGGACACACACAGGCGGGCGCCGCCGCGTCAGCTTCCGCCCTTCGCGTCCCCGCAGCCGCCTCCCCTCACTGCCCTTTCGGGCCCCGCTCCGGCTGCCCGTCACCCCCATCCGGACCCAGCGCTCCAGCCCGTGCCGCACGGCCTCGGCCCGGACTGTACATTAACCCCCCCTCCCCCGCGATCGCCGGCGCGGCTCCCCTCAGTGCACATGCGCGGCACCGGCAGGCCCAGCAGCTGGGCGCAGGCCGCGGCCAGCCGCTTCTCCCCTCCCGCCAGAGCAACCTCCCGCCCTGCCGGCCCGCCCGGCCCCCTCCCCGGCGCGGGGCCGCCGCCCTTACGGCTAATGCAGTCCCGGTAGATGATCATGGCGGCGGCAGGCGCAGCGGCGGCGCGGTCTCTGCGCAGCGACCCGAGATCGGGCGGGAGCTCGGCGGAAAGGGCCGAGTCAGCGCCTGCCGCAGCTCATATAGCGGGCACGGCACGGCGCGTCACCGCGCACGCGCGCTCCGCCAGCTCCGCCCCGCGCGGCGCCCCCGCGCGGCTGTTTGAGGGGGAGGCGGTTGGTGGCCGTGATGGGGCGGCCCGCGGCGTGTCGGGCGGGTGTGCGTGTGTGATGGGGGTCGGTAGCGCAAACCGCCCCCCCGAGCCACAGCCGTGCCGGCGGGAGGCCTGAGTGCCCGTGCTGACGGGGCTAGGGGAGCTGCAGTGGAAGGCCAGCGCCTCTTTGCCCTCAGGTGAGGCTTGCCCTCAGGTGAGGCCGGGCTGTCGATGTAGCGGCCTGTGTTCCTTGAGTGGCAGTCTGCTAGGTCGCTGTACCCTGCTTCCTCAGATTTCTGAGTGCTCCACTGACCTGGGCATGAATCGCAGAGTCAGCTAGGTTGGAAAAGACCTTTAAGATCATCAAGTCCACCTGTTACCCCAGGACTGCCAAGGCCACCACTAAACCATGTCACTAAGGGCCTTGTCTACATGGTTTGTGAGCACTTAAAGGGATGGTGATTCCACCACTGCCCTGGGCAGCCTGTTCCAATGCCTGACCTGAAAAATTCAGTGAAGAATTTTCTCCTAATCTCCAGTCTTAAACCTCCTCAGGTGCAACTTGAGGCCGTTACCTCTTGTCCTGTGTCATGGTTTAAACCCAGTCAAGCAATTCGTTCGCTCACTCCCCCCCCTTCTTGCCCTCCCCCTGCTCCCGGAGGGACGGAGAGGAGAGTCAAAAAGAATGCAACTCCCACGGGTTGAGATAAGAACAGTTTAGTAACTAAGGTATAACACAAATCACTACTGCTACCACCAATGATAATAATGATAAAGGAAATGGGAAGAGAATACAACACCTCACCACCAGCCAACCAATAATTCACTCCCCAAGCCTGACCAAGCACCGACCCATACCTCTTCCAACCCTGCAGTCTCCCAGCTCTTCCGGCTAACTCCCAGTTACATCCTGGGCATGACGTGCTGTGGTATGGAATACCTCTTTGGTCAGTTTGGGTCAGGTGTCCTGTCTCTGCTTCCTCCTGGCTTCCCTCCTCCCTGGCAGAGCATGAGGTCACAAAGTCCTTGGCCAAACCAAAACATTGCTGTCAGCTCTGTTCCCAGGCTGAAAGTCAAAACACTGCACTGCACCAGCTACCAAGAAGGAGAAAAATGACTGCTACTGCTGAACCCAGGACATCCTGTCACTTGTTACTTGGGGAAAAGAGACCAGCCATCTCCTCACTCCATCCTTTCAGGTAGTTGTAGAGGTTCCCCATGAGACTTCTCCAGACTAAACCTCCCCAGTTCCCTCAGCCGTTCCTCATCATACTTGGGCACCAGACCCTTCATCAGCTTCGTTGCCCTTCTCTGGATCTGCTCCAGCACCTCAATGTCTTTCTCGTGGTAAGAACTGAACACAGGATTTGAGGTGCAGCCTCAGCAGTGCTGGGTACAGGTGGTGATCCCTGCTGGCTCTTCAGCTCTGGCATAAGCTCAGTTTTGAAGAAGAACCACTCTGAGCCTTTCTCAGACACCTGGAGAAGAGCTGCTGTGAGTCGCCCGCAGAGCTGGGGGTGGCACAGTGTCATCACCACTTACGTATTCCAATATGGCATTTCTTAAAATGGGTAAAACAGGTGATGTTCGGAAAAACCTGTGATGCTCCCTCTGTTCACAGCCTGATGAGGTATCGGCTGGCCTGACTGCCTTCTCCTGTGGTCTCCATCATCGGTAATGACTTAACTGCAGTGGGGCTGTCCTCACTGCTGAGGAGCTTGACGCCTTGTGAGGGTTGTGACAGGTACTAAATGCTGTGCCTTCTCCAAATAAATGATTTATTTTTAATAGGCAAATAATTAAGAAGCTCTTAGACTCTTCCTGTTATTACTGCCTCAGACTAATGAAGTTGGGTATGTTTGGAGACACCATTTGTATGCTTGTGAAAGGACTGGTTGGGACAGGTATATTTTTCATTACTTTTGCAAAGATAGAATCATAGAATGGTTTGAGTTGGAAAGGACTTTAAAGATAATCCATTTCCAACCCACCTTCCACAGGCAGTGACACCTTCCACTAGATCAGTTTGCTCAAAGCCCCATCCAACCTAACCTTGAACACTTCCAGGGATGAAGCATCCACAGCTTCTTTGGACAACCTGTACCAGTGCCTCACCACTCTCACAGTGAAGAAATTTCACTTATTTACAACGACTTAAAAATAAGAGAGATTAAGCCCAGCAGTCAGGGTCAAGATGAAAGGCAGAAGCACAGTAATACCTAGGCCTCTTTTCCTCCACTTGCACATACTTCACTGCAGCAGCCTGACACAATTGAAATAAATGTAGACCTCCCTTGAACCCTTATTCTTAGGGGACATGACAAAATACTTTCTAAAGACATTATGGTACCTAAAATGCTTAATGTTTCTAATGATCCTGGACTTGACAGAGACACTAGGGCACAGGGTACAATTCCCTGTCCCTCATCCTCCTCAGGCAGTAAATTACACAAGGCTTTCTTTGTGCTCACCTTTTATCTCCTCCTCCCCTGCTATCTCTTCCTTTGCTCCAGATATCAGTGCCCCCCCTTTTTTTTCTCAAGATCATCTAGCTGCTTACATAATCTTGATTAAATTTATCAGTCATTCTCTGCTGGTTTTCACCTTCAAGAAAAACCTTCCCCTACTGTTGCTATCTCAGACCTGAAGAAGGGACTTCTGCTCAAAAGCTTATCTGTTTTTTTTTCTAGTAGCAGCTAGCTTGATAAGAGCCCCTCTTTATACAAACCACATATCTTTAGCAGTGGGTTGAGTGACAGGGGAACATTTGGCTCCTTCTCATAGTGTAATATGCAGCTAAAAACATCCATTTAGTAGGTGTGCTTCAGTTTGGTTTTCATTTGAAGAGATTGTTCTAGAAAAAGGGATCTTCCTATAGTATCGAAACCTCTTACAAATTCAGCGGTTGGCCCTGTCTACTGGAGTCAGGGTAGAAACCCTTTGCACAAGTGATGAGACAGATGGACCTTCAGGTTGCTTTGCCTGTAGGTCTCTATTCAGAGTTGTGGCTGTGAAGTAGGAGGTATTACTTAAAAATGCGTCAGTTAAATAGGTCAAGGCTCCTGTGTGAACATCAATTTGACGTGAAGTTATGCTAAATCAATATCAAGTGGAAAAAAACCTTTAAATGAGACCAGAAGTGTTGACATGACAAGGTTTTCATCCTTTTAACCTGAGTGGCTTTTAAAATTGATTCAAACTCAGACAGCTCTGAATAAATCCCAGGACTAAATTAGTGATACTTTAATTGGTGTAGGTTTTGCAAGAAGCACTTTACTGAGGTACCAGTGCTAAAAATTTCCTGTGATGCCATATTAAGAGATAATTCTGTCATGTGCTGATATTAAAAATGCCTTCCTCCCCCTCCCCAAAATCAGCATCATTTGAAGAAACCCTGAGTGTTCCACACCTGCTTTCTGTGTCTGTGCAGGCAGCCCCTTCAAACATCTCTCATATCCAGGCAAGGTTAACACATTCCACAGTATTAGGATAAAAAGGTAGTCCCTCTGCAGCAGGGTATTTTTAGGTGGGAAATGACAGGTTATCCTGACAGTGTACTTCATCTTTGGAGACATGTGAATCCCCAAGCACTGATGAAAGTCCTGTGTTTTTATAGATGGGGTTTTTAATATCACTTGAGGTGGATTTTCTAGGCAGGTGTCCGCAGTCTCAGGAGAATCCTTTCTCATGGAAGACACAGGTCATTGTGAAGTATTGCAGTGTTACTCTCACCAAATATTAGCAACTGGGCATGATACAACTTTGTGTCTTGGATTCAAATGGCAGATGACAGCTGATACTTCACTGTTCTTTCTCTAAGTGAGCAGTACGTTTTCAGCTCATTGTGACCACTCCCACTGAGCTGTATCAAAAGGGAGGAGATCCTGCCTGCAGCCAAGTCTCCAGCCAGGTGCAGTCAGTGGAAGGAAATGAGAGGTGGGGCTTGGCTATGACCTAAGGGACATTCTTCTAACCTTTGTAAAAGGCTGCGAAAGTCACAGTGTATATAAGTGTATAGATATATTTATCTATATTTATATAGATATATATATCTATTTATCTCTATCTATATATATTTTAATCTATGTATCTCTATAGATAGATCCTGGTAGAGAGAAACTGGAAAATAGAAGTCTAAACAACCAAGTGAGACCTGGCACTGTAGAGAGGCCTGGCAGGGCAGCCTGGCAGTGCCCAGTGCCCTCTTCCCCAGTGCATCTCCTGACTCTTGCACTGGGAGAGAAGATGCACAACAAGCCTGTGATCAGCTTGTGTCTTCACAAATCTGGCTGGAATTTATGACTGAAACAGGAGCTGGGACTTCGTAGCCCTGCCTTCCACATATCCAGATGGAAACTGTAGTTCTAACTGCTTTTGTTCAAGTTCTTTCCCCACGGGGGTTAAGGGCACTAAAGAGGTCCTAAACCTTCTTATTATTAGGTTACACAATATAGCCAGCCTTTCAGTCCCTGGCAATCCTTGGAGATTTTTGGATGTTCAGCCAAAAGTCATTATTTGGATCTACACTGGCAGTGTACTAAGACAGAGTCCCAGATTACAAGATTGGTACTTGAAAGAACTGAACTTTGAGCATCAGTGTAGTTTATCAGGTCTGATCTATTCACAAATAGAATATGTCAGACTGGAATAGATAGATAAACAAATCCCCAAAGAATCACTTTTTAGGATATGAGAAAGGTCTTCAGCTCAGCAACAACCCCTCCTGCACTCAGAAGAAATGCAGGTGTTGTTACACTGACGTTACAGTATTTGCATTTCTTTCTGGTTCAGCTGGGTCCCTGAAAATCCTCTGCTGCTTCCTTGGCTATACACCCATAGCCCAGTTTTAGGCTGCTGGCTGCACTTCTTCAAACAGACAGAGAGGTCACTGCACAGCTACGAAAAGCCTTTTCGTCTGTGGCATTACACGCATCACTCCAGCTTACCTGAAACTCTGCCCGTGGGGGTGGATGTGTGAGGGCGTGCACTGCATATACCAGGGGATGCTGAGCTGATGCTATGCTCCATATGGGCGCTCTGATGTTATGCTCTTGAGTGCAGAGAGATGTCATCAGCTACAGACGCAGGACAGAGATCTGGGCAGCAGTTCTGCAGAAAACATCTGGGGTACTGGCAGATCCAAAGCTGAACCAGAATCACAGAACTATGGAATCATAGAATCTTTCAGGTTGGAGAAGACCTATAAGATTGTGAAGTCCAACTATAAACGTAGCACTGCCAAGCCCACCACTAAACCAAGTCCCTAAGCGCCACAACTGCATGTCTTTTAAATACCCCCAAGGGATGAGGACTCCACCACTTCCCACTGCCCACTTCCCTGGGCAGCCTGTTCCAATGCCTGACAACCCTTTCAGTGAAAGAATTCTTCCTGATATCACCTGTCTTACCTATTTTAAGAAAAGCCCATGCCATATTGGAATATATGTGGTGATGTTACATACAAGAAACTTCTGCTGTCTTAAAGATGTGAGGGGTTGAGCTCTATTCCATGCTGCTAATACCTCCTGGAGAGCTGACTCCACCTTTAGCAGCACACTTTGGAAAAGATACGGACTAATCAGCAGGGGTTCAGAAAAGCAACAGGAATAAGTAGAAGCAATATGATTTGGTTTATTTTGCTGTAAGAGAGTTTTAGGTAAGGCATTGGAAATGCTTCCCAGTACTGTCAATAGAGAAACAAGGAGTAGGCTATCTACCTAGTTCTCTGTCCCTGCAGGTTTTTGAGAACAGTCCAGAAACCTGCTCAGGTGAGGTCAGAAAACATGCTAGATCTACCATGAATGACATGGGTAACAGCTGATCCCACTCCACAACAGAGAGACAGACTGCCTCTAGACCCTTTCCAGCCCTCTTCTGTCTCACCCAGTGATTCTTAGATGAATTATGTGCTGTCATTTACACCTGTTTAGGCAATTGGTTATACAGTTTGGATAAAAATAATGTTCTTATATCACTATGAAGAATGAAAAAGAGGGCTTGGAAAAGGGAAATTGTCAGAAAGGAATGTGTTTGTTGTCCTGCATGGCAAGATGGGCCTGCATGGAAGCTTTAATCCTGGTAGAGCCCCTGCTTTAGTCCTATTTAAACACAACACAGTACAGTCCTTTGACTATGACTAGAGATATACTGCAGAAAGGGTTTCTTACATGCCACACCTAAGGGGAAGGATTTGACTACTTGTGCTTGCTGGGACACTTCTTGGTCTTCAGGCAGTAAACCTGGATGTCTCTTCAGAGAGATCTGCTCTTACAGCAGTTGATTTAGAAACTTACCCACAAACATAACGCTGCTCCCCCAAAAAACATAACCCCAAAACATATAATCCTGCTCCCTCCCCCCAGTATGTCAGCACCAGCCTGGCTGTTTCAGCTGCTTTGCAAAGAATGAGGGTGGAATTCATCCTATTTAACCTCCGCAGCAGAGATGGCTCACCACTAGATCCTTTTGCTAAGTGAGCTGAATCCAAGTTCTTACAAAGTAGCAAGGCCTGTTACTTAAGGGAAGGCAAGCTGGGTGTGTAGATGGAGGCAAGGCAGCAGTGCCCTCTCCAGCAAAGTCTCAGTCCCATGGTGCTCCAGTGAGGCCAGTGGAGCGGAAGGTCCAAAGTCGAGCCAGGGCTGGGATATGCAAGACACAGGGCCAGGCATAGCACAGCTGCAGCACGTAAAGCAGATGGGGAATGAGGAATGGGCCTGAGCGCAAACACAGCTGCTGAGATGTGAGGAAAGATGGCCCCACTGAGGCTGCTTCCAGCTCTGTCCCACACAGCTGCTGGTTGTATTGCAGTCTGGGCCAAGGTTACAACTTCTATGCACAGACACCCTTCTGAAGCTGAACAGCTTTTTTTTTTTTTTCTGAGGCAAACTAACCTCTGTGTTTGATTTTTCTCTTTGAAGACACTGAGCTGAACTGTAACCTCAGTTAACTTAGCAACACCTACACAAAAGACTCAAAGAAGACTAGACCTCTGTGTTTTCCCTCCAGATGTAACTCCACTCATTGGGGTGCCAGTGACATACGGAGATATCCCACTAGATGGCGGGACAGGAGCCGGTGGATGGCAAGCCAGGCTCCACTTGTCTTGGTAGGAGGTTTTTCCATTGGTGTTGGTGCCATGCTGTATCACCTGGAATGCCCTAGGACCAGCACACTTGATCTTTGGCCTGTAACTGATACAACCTCTCTGGGCTCCTGGCCAGTTGGATGCTGCACACAAATACCATCCTCTTTAGATAATTAGCATCCCCATGCGATGATCTTGGCTCTGTTGAGATTTTAACCATTAGAAGGGCTAATCCTGCCATGCTAAACTCACTCAGCTGCCATTTTGCAAACTGGCATTTGCTTCATGAATGTTTTGAAGCCTGAAATTGAGTTCTGCCATTTTAATGCATCACTGCATGCTTTTTAGTTCATTGTTATGCGGTGTAAGCTCTCAGTCTTGTCAATAGAGAAATAGTCATCAGAGCACGGGGCATGTTAATGGTGTTATTCCTAAAATTCTGGCACTGTATTTGCCAGCAGGTAATAAATAATGAACACAGTTACAACTATAAAGCAAACCCTGTTGCAGGTGTTCCAGAAAATGGCAGGAATGGCATTATAAGGAAATAGGTAGATCAACCTTTTGGTCTCCCAGTTGTGCAAAGCATCACTTTAAAATACTGTAGAGGAAAGGAGGCAACAGGACTGGAAGAATTTTGGAAAACAGTTTCCTAAATGGCAATCCATTAACTTGAGTTCTTAACACTTGTCAGCTGCAAAAATAAACCTGCCATTATTTTCAAAGATCCCAAGACAGATTGGTTATTTATTCTTTTCTGATAAGAATTTTGTGTCTATCATATTCCCCCAGTCTGTGAAAATCAAAAGGGACAGAGGATATGTTAGAGCGTTTGGAGGTATCACCCAGCTTCTGAGTGATTTAGAATTGCTCTGGCTTATATTAGTTTAGCAGCTGTGAAATGAAAGTTTTAATGGAAGGATGGTAGAAGAAGCTGTTTGATAATTGTCCCCCACAAACATGCTCTGAGAAGAAAATGCTGATCTGTTTATCTGTCTGTAGGTGGCTGATAATCTCAGACACTTCAAGATTAGGGTTGGAAGGGACCTTGAGAGGTCAATCAGTCTTCTTTCAGCATGGGGATTAGTTAGACATGCACCACTCCAGAGAGATGTTTGCCTACCTTGTTTTTCAGATCTCCTGATAGTGGAGATTTCCATCTTCCCCTGCAAAGCAAACACTTACTGAAAAAGGGGCTGGGGGATGGGTTCTCCCATTCCCCTGTATTATAAATAAAGGATGGATCATAACCTGTATTAAAGTGGATTTAGGGGTCTGTCTGTTGCTCAGATCATTATGGAGCTCAGTCTGGCTCATTCTACATGGACACTTGGCTGCACAGTTCCCATATGTATAAAAAAAATTTCTGTATTAGTTGTCAGCACTTTCACACAGGATGAAGAGGATGTTGCTCCTCACTGTTTGATTCCTTCGCTTGGGCCAATGGGCACATGGAAATCTATCTGCAGGGCCATGATACTGTAGGTAGAGAGGAGAAACAGAGGAGCCAGCCCATCTCATGTGTTTCTACCAGGAAGCTTTACATATGAAAGAAGCTTAGCAGTTTAGCTAATGGATACAATTTAGGGCACAGTTGCCTGAAGTGGTAATAGATACTTCTGTGAAAACAGAAGAGCAGTCCTCAGTGTTGATCACAGGACTAAACTATTACTGAAATGTTAAGAAAGAAATAGAGAATAAAACCAGAAATAGAGAGTAAAACCAGAAACATCCCTGCCATATATATGTCTGCATACACAAGCAGAGAGTAAATACATATACATATACATACACATACACACACATTTTGTATATAACTGCTGTATGCCTGAATATCAAATGCCATGTGCTGTTCTGGCCTCCCAGTGTTATAAAAGTAGTAACAGTACCAAGAAGAGAGGCAAAGAGCAAAATAATAAACTGTAACAGGACACAGCAGCTTTAAAAAGAGATAGCTGGGCTGGTGGGTATGATGGCAGTCTTTGAAATTAACAGTGACGCTGAGAAAGTTAAAAATGTCAATTATTCACTGCCTCTCAGCTATAGTTCTCAGGAGCTATGGGAACATCAATAAAACGATGAGGTTGCAGGTTCAGAAGAGGCAAATGAAGGTTCCTTTTAACATCCTGGGTATAGCTGTATTGTGGAACTTGTTCGAGGATGCCATGAATGCCAACATTTTAGACTATTGCAAAAGCAATTAGAAAGAGTCATGGAAAAAAATGCAGAAAGAGCTATTAAGCACTTCTAGCTTATGAAGAAGTGCTTCAGGCAAGGACTGCTAAAAACCAGGAAATTTAACACTGAAATGTTACCTTCCTATGCATAGATTTGTAGGTTTGTGGGATAAAGGGTTTGGAAGAGATCTCCCATATCCTTGAATCCCCTTTATTAATGTATCAATCACATGCAGCCTCAGGGAGAGATGTTCCTAGGAAGGAAGACGGAGAAAGAAGATCATGAGGAGGCTAGGGAATAATTTCTGGCAGTTTCTCTGCCCTGAAATAACCCTTGGCGAGCTATGGGGCCATGCTGAGGTGAGGAAGTACCACTGCCCACTCTGCCTCTCCAGCTCCAGCTATCCTAATTGCAGCAGCTGCTGCCCTGAGGATTTTTCCTCGTCTAATTCTGCTGTCTCATAGTTCTGACCTGGTTTTGACATTTGAAAGAGCAAGTGAAATCCTCGTGTCAGGCGGTTTAGCTGCTGTCAGTTTCCTTACTATTTAATGGCCGAGCCCAAATGCCCAGCCAAGGTGGTGTTGCATATCCCTGGGTAAGCGAAGGATTATGGAGGTACTGCAAGGTCAGGCTGTTTTGTTTCTGCTATGCCAAGAAATCAGTCCACCCTGTGCAGTCTTCTGGGCAGCCTCAGGCCCCCTCCATCTGTCTTATTTTTGAGATGTTCTGCAGTATGGTTCAGTCCTGTGTTCCTCTACCCGTGGCTCACTGGGCATTAAATGGTAACAAATTTCCCACCTAGGACATCCTGACATATGTGTACACCTCAACCCACAAACATTGATATGTGTGCAAGCAAACGAAGTGCATCAAGAGATGGAAAAGACATATATGTACATCCAAAGTTGAGCGTGCGTATTTTGATGTTGTAAATGAAGACCACAGTAGCCACAATGTGCACAGAGGGGCAGCCACAACATCTCAGGGCAACCTGTGCCAGTGTCTCACCACCCTCGCAGTGAAGAATTTCTTCCTAATATCTAATCTAAATCTACCGTTTTTCAGTTTAAATCTGCTGCTCCTTCTCTTTGCCACTACAGGCCCTGGTGAAAAGTCTCTCTCTCTTTCTTATAAGCCCCCTTTAGGCACTGGAAGCTGCTCTGAGGTCTCTCCAGAGCCTTCTCTTTTTCAGGCTGAACAACCCCAACTTTCTCAGCCTGTTTCCACAGGAGAGGTGCTCCAGCCCCCTGAGCATCTTTGTGGCCTCCTCTGGATTCACTCCAACAGGTCCAGGTTCCTCTTGTGTTGGGTCTTCAGAGCTGAGCACAGTACTGCTGTGGGGCAATCACAAGAGAAAGTAGAGGGGGAGAATTACCTCCCTTGACCTGATGGATTTTCCTAAAAGGTTGTGCCACTCTTCGATTTTCAAGAGTTCAACAGCTTGTGTGGGAACACAGTATGCACCTGGGACACAGCACATCAATTCCTGTGGGCCAGAACTGGCATTCACGGTCACTCTTCTCTACAGCAGCAGTCAGTGCGTAACCCTCCTGTCACAGATTCTCCATGCATGAAATGAGGCTACTGATGTTTATCTACCTACTGTGAGTGCTGGTGGAACAAATCGTTATTACTCTATGGTGAAACCAGGAAGAAACCCCACTGAATTAATTAATATATACAGGCGTAACTGGAGAAAAGAAGGAGGCTTGGGGGCATCTGCTCTTGCAGCACAAAGCAAATGATTCTTCACTGAGAATGGCATGAATATGGAAACTATGCAACAGATGCACTGTGCTGAACAAATGTATGTAAATGATTCTGCTTGTCTATTTGGTGTACTTCCTCACTATTCATGAGAGGTTTTGTGCTGAACGTCCACAAGAAAAGCTGAAGAGTTGGTTTTGGTTCCAGTGAGTGTTGCAGACATGTGTCAAGAGCATGCAAGGTATGGTGTGCTAGTGCTGCCTGGAGCTGTGGTCGGCCCCTAAATGTCAGGATAGAATTTGGCCTCTGCTTTCAAACTCCTCTGCAGCAAGACAAAGGGGTCA